CTGGCACGTGCTGGAGGAGGGGCTCAGCTGGCGCTGGGGCAGGATCCGGGCTCCTGGCCCCACAGGGGACACAGACTCGCAGAGGCAGAGAGGCCGAGCCTCTGACCTGGTGTCAGGGCAATGACAAAAATGATGTGCCCTCGAGGTGAAGCCCCCCTGGAGATGCTGGTGTCGCAGAGGAACTCCTAGAAGCATCTCCTAGGAAGGTTCCGGCAGGTGAGTCAGCAAGGGAGCCTCGCCCCGTGCCTGTCCGCGGGCATGTCAGGCCGCAGGGGGACAAATCACCAGCCTCTAACGCGGCTCCTGGGCTCGGGAAGAGTCTAGCAGGGGGGACAAACTGCTTCTGGGAGCCTGGCTCCGGGGAGTGACAGCCACCCTTGCTCTGTGTCCCCTGCACCTCTCGGCTTCGGTCCCACCCACCCCAGGAGGCAGGGCCCGTCCATCCTGCCTCCCCCAGCTCAGGCGGGAGCCCCACGCTCAGGCGCTGCTGGGTGACAGCTGGGCGGGTGCCGAGGAGGATGTGAAAGTGTCACGCCCAAAACAGAAAGCAGAACACACTAGGACGGCTTTCCTGGGCCCCAGAGTCTCAGGCCCCGGTGGGGCCTCAGTGGCCCCGTCCCTGGAGCTCTGGCAGCCTCCATCCCCACTCCCTCTCCCAGAGCTTCTCAGCAGACGTCCAAGACCACTGGAGGAGGAGGACTGGAGCTAGACACCTGGTCCTCTCCCACCGTATTGTCAACAGAGGGTTCGAGATGAAGTGTCCAGTGTGAATCAGTCAGTGCCGGGGCACGCGCCTGTAAGCCCAGCGACTCAGGAGGCTGAGGCAGGAGGATGGGGAGTTCAAAGCCAGCCTCAGCAAAAGGGAGTCCCGGAGGGACTTAGTGAGGCCCTGTCTCAAAATAAAACATAAAAAGGGCTGGGGGTGAGGCTCCGTGGTTTAGTGCCCCTGGGTTCAGTCTCTGACACTGGCCTGGAGCCGCCCGGCGGCGGGCAGAACGTGCTGCCTACGGAGAAACGTGGACTGATGTCCCGGGGCAGCGGTATCTTTGCAGGGGGTGATCTTCCCGTGTTAGTCGGGAACACAGACACACCGTCAGGCCTCCCAGCAACTCTCTGGAGACAAGTGGCAGCCAAGCCACCACCGTGTGGAGGTCACTGTTCTGACTTTTTGGCAGAGTAGTCCTGTCTGCAGGGAGTGTGTTCCAAGAACCAGGGCCAGTGCCCGAAGCCCCAGACGGTGCCAAACCCTGTACCTGGCACGCTCCGCCCGCATGCCCCAGCGCCGCCGCGGGACCAGGGTCGTCTGGCCCTTCCTGTCCTAGGGCTCCCTGCATCTCTGCCCCGGGCCACTGCCGAACACAGACGCCCATCGGGGAGGCGGCCCGGGGTGGGGGAGGTTGGATGCAGGCCGACTGCTGGGCAGGACCCATGCCCGGGCAGGACAGCACACGCTTCCATCAGGCTGCTCCAAGTGGCTTGATTTAAAACCTAGGCACGGCTGATTTCTAGAATTTTCTACCTGATGTTTTCAGGCCACGGCTGACCAGGGGTAGTCGAAACCTTGGGAAGGAGAAGGGGGGACTGCTGTGCTCTCACGGCCCACAGCTTAGGCCCGACGCCAGACGTCTAGACGGAGGAGCCCTGGGTCTGCGGACAGATCTGTGCTCGCGCCTTCCAGTCCTCCACAGCTCTGGCTGGGCCCATCCCACGCCCGCGCTTTACGCCACCTTGAAGTGGCAGGCATGACTTCTGGCCCCCTAGTCCCCGTTCCGATTCTCCATCCATGACCACTTCCTGTCACCTGCTTCCCTATAGAAAGAGCCTGACACACTTGGGGCCAGACACGGGTAAGAACTGGCTGGCCTTCCTTCCCCCATTGGCATCTTCTTCAGAGCCACACCCCAAACCAGGCACCCGGAACGGAAACCAGGCACCCGGAATCGGGTTCCCAGCAGAGCCACTTTCTAGCTAAAAGACCTCTCTGAACCTCAGTTTCTTCTTCTGTTTTGTTGTTGTTGCTGTTGGTTGGTTGGTTGGTTTGGGGTTTTTATTTTGGTGCCGGGGATTGAACCCAGGACCTCACATGTGCGTGCGGCACAAGCACTCCTGCCACAGGCTCCGCCCCCAGTCCCAGCAATTACTTTTTTGGTGGGGGAGATACTTGGGGATTGAACTCAGGGGCACTCGATCACTGGTCTTTGCTGAGGCTGGCTTTGAACCTCCTGTCTCAGCCTCCCAAGCCGCTGGGATTACAGGCGGGTGCCACTGGGCTCTGCTCCAGGAATTACTTTTTACTGGTAAAATTCTGCAATCCCTCAGCTGGGCATAGCGGTGCAGGTTTGTAATCCCAGAGACTCGGGAGGCTGAGGAAAGAGGATCACAGATTCAAAGCCAGCTTCAGCAATTTAGGGAGAGTCTGTCTCAAAGTAAAAGTTTTGTTTGTTTTTAGTTGATTTATTAGAATCGGCCAGTTCCGCCACCCAGCCCAGCCCAGGCTACTTACAGCTTCTTCACCAGCAGCACCGCCTGGGTGGTGGGGGACGGGGGGTTCCGAGGACTCCACTCACAGACCACGCTGCTGAGGAGTCTCCTTCGTGAGCAGGAGAGCCGGGGCTTCTCGGGAGGAACTGGAAGGAGAGAACAGCGGGCTGAGGAGCCGCAGGGCTTCCCCCGACCTCCCAGGTGAGCCCAGCCTCCCTGCTGAGGGGACTGGCCACTCGGCAGCTGAAACTCAGACCCACACAGATGTTCTAATGGACGACAAGTATTTTTGGGGGGAGGCTAGGGCAGTACTAGGGATTGAATTGAGGGGTGCTTTACCAGTGAGCTACGTCTCCAGCTCTTTTTATTTTGAGACAGAGTCTCTCTGAGTTGCTGAGGCGGGCCTCAACGCTGCAATCCTCCTGCCTCAGCCTCCCCAATCACTGGGATTCCAGGTGTGCACCGCCCTGCCTAGCTGGGACTTTGGAATCTGTAGACGCGGCTGTGTGGCCTTGGGTGAGTCCCAGGCCTTCTTCAATGTCCTCCATGACCTGATGATGATAATGGCGATGAATGCCACCCTCCTTCCTGGGGTTGGTGGGAGGACTAGGTGAGAAACAAGGAAGGGCCTAGCACCGGGCCCTGGCACCGGGCCCTGGCTGGGTGAAGTCTTCATCCAGAAGTGAAGGAGGCTTTGGGCTTGGCTTTCTTGGTGCTGGGGATTGAACCCAAAGGCGCTCACGCACGGAGCCACACACCGAGCTTTTTAAGATCTTATTTAGAGACAGGGTCTGGCCAAGTTGCTTTAAGGCATCACTAAGTTGCTGAGGCTGACTTTGACCTCGCGATCCTCCTGCCTCCGCCTCCCGAGCAGCTTGGGTTACAGGCAGCAGCACCGCGCCCAGCGGAAGGAGCTGATTCTAAAAGTCAGGAGCGCTGCCTTGTGCAGAGCAGTCCCGTCCGTCTGTCCGTGGGAGAATTCTTCATCTTTTTTTTTTTCTTTTTTGTTTTGGTGCTGGGGATTGAACCCGGCACTCTGCCCCCGAGACACACCCCCTACTCCTTCTGTGATCTCTTTGGAGACAGGGTCTCCGTGGTCGCCCAGGCTGGCCTCCAACTTGCCGTCCTCCCGCGTTACCTTACAGGTGGCGGCCACCAACCCAACGCTCCGTTTCACCTTTGAGACACTCTAAGGTCAGAAAATCGACTCGATTTTGCAGAGAGATCTGAGGAGCCCAAGTCAAGCTGAGTGTGAAGGGGGAAGACTCGAATCCAGGCTGTCTGGGTCCACTGGCAGGACAGACAGACAGTGCCCTCCACCAGCCAGATGCGCCCCCCCTCAGCGGGAACTTCCTCCAGTGGCACCGAGAGACATCAGGGAGCCTTTCCCCAAAATTCTTGGGCCGAGGCAATAACAGGAGTTTAAAGGACCAGGCAAGGAGTCCTCCCAGAAGGCGCAGAGCCGGGCCATCCAGAGCCCCGAGGACACTCACCGTCCACCAGCAGCTGCACGGTCCCCGCCGGGTGGCCGTCCAGGGAGCAGGAGTAGTTCCCAGAGTCCTCGAAGCGCACCGACCTCAGCAGCAGCCTCCTTCCCACGCCGGCCCAGCTCCGGTGGCGTGAGCCAGCGAGCACCCACTGGACGGTGGCGTTGGCCCCCAGGTCCTCCCCCGGGCAGGTCAGGGTGACGCTGGCCCCTGGCAGGCTCCTCAGCACGTCACCGGCCATCTCTGCGGGAGGGAGAACACTCAGTGAGCCACAGCACCCTGAAACGGGAAGCCACAGAGGCTTCAGGACTGACCAACTCTGGAACCTGTCACCGTCCAGGACACCTCTGCCCGGATTAGGACACTGGCCCCCCCGTACTGCCCCTGACACCCCCAGCTGCCAGAGTGAGCCTTCTCAAACCACAATCTGGCATCCCACTCCCCCGGTGAAGCAGACACACACACACACAAACACAACACAGCACACAAACACAACACAACACACAAACAAACACAACACAACACAGCACAACACAACACAGCACAGCCCTTCAAGGGGCCAGGGGTGGTGGCCCAGGCCTGTCATCCCAGGGGCTCAGGAGGCTGAGGCAGGAGGATCGCGAGTTCAAAGCCAGCCTCAGCACCTTAACGAGGCCCTGAGCAACTCAGCGAGACCCTGTCCCTAAAGAAAACATAAAGAGGACTGGGATGTGGTCTGACACCAAAGAAAGATGGAGAAGAAGGAGAAGAGAGGAAAAAGAGGAGGCCCTCCAAGGGCTACACTATCCCCAAGACACTGCTCTTCTCACACTGGCTCCTCCCCTGCCCCGGCCCCAGGACAAAGTCCCCTATTTCTGGACTCAGCATTAAGCACCCCTTACCCCAAAGCCTCCCCTGTCCCGCTCGCTAGATGAGGCCTCTCCACCGCGCCACCTGTCCCAACTGCCGTGCAACCACCCATTCCCAGTGTGTCTCCCCAAGACGCCAAGCAGCACAAGACGAGGCACCTGTTGTGTTGTGTGGTTCGTTTGTGAAGGTCCTGGGGGTTGAACCCCGGGAGGCACGCTCTACCACGCAGCTACACCCCCAGCCCCTTTTTACTTTTTATGTTGAGACGGAGTCTTGCTAAGCTGCTAAGGCTGGCCTGGAACTTGCCATCTACCTTCCTCAGCCTCAGGGATCACAGGCGCGGGCCACCGAGCCTGGTGGGCGCTCTGTCACGGTCCAGCTCTGGGCGCACTGCCGGGCACACACAGCGCCCTGGAGTGGATGAATGAATACACCTAGGAATGAGCGCCAGGCACCAAGCAGGGCTCCTGGCACACACGGGTCTGAAGGAAGTCTCAAAATCTCGGGGTCTACTTTATAAATGGGAACTGAGGCCCGGAAGAATCAGGAGACTCGCCCCAGATCACCCATAAGATAGAGGCACGCTCAGGATGTGAACCAGGGGTCTGACGGTGTGTCCCGCGCTTCCCCTGGTCCCCGGCGCCTCTCTGCTAAACATCTGTGCTGTTTTTATTCTAAGGATCCAAGAAAAAGTTATTGGAAAGTCAAAAAGACAAAGTACATCACCCACCCCTCGAAAAATATCGTGTGCGCGACGACTCAAGAGAGAGGAGATTAAAGGTTAGCGGAACAAAGACTTTTTTCCTAGCCCAGCTTTAGGACGGGTTATAGATTCACAGAATCTAAGATAAAAATTATCCCGGCCACCTTGCACTCAGTTATGAACCGATCAGTCAAATCAGTCCAACCAGCTGAGGAGATGGGGCCGGGGACACAGCCCGTTCTCCTATCAAGCCCACCTGATCCCTTAAACCAAGGGTAGGACCACGCGTGAGCAGGCAGCGGCAATGAATGTGACCAGAGATGTCAGAGAGGCCAAGCACCTGATGTCACCTCCCTGCCCATGCTCCTGGGTCTGGGGACAAGCACAAGTGTCTCTTGGGTCTGCGAAAGCTTTTCGCTGGGGAAGAGTTCCTCATCTCCTGCGTGGAGCCCGTCCTTCCTCCCAGCCCACCAGAGATGGCCCCCAGGAAAGGGGGCGTCAGGACCAGAGGCTCCCGGGGGCCTCCAGCCCCAGGCCAAGGAGTCTGGCTGTCCCTATGAGACGCAGGCCACAGTCCAGGGACCAGGGACACAGGCATCCAGAGCAGAGACAGCTTCTGCCTGGCTGCACAGACGCCTTTCAACTTTCCTCCCAGTTCACCACTCGGAGCCCAAGTCCTCCGCCTGGCCCCCTCTGCTCTGAGCTGGCGGGGAAAGGACAGATGGACAGCCAGGACACGTGGCAGCCCCTCACCCAATCTCCCTACCACAAGAGCCCTGGCTGCTGGAAGAGAGAGCTAAGTGGACGTCACGGTGTAGCCCAGCAAGTCTGGGCGGGGGCCTGGGACCCCCTCTGGGCTCCTCGTGCTCCACGGTGGGCAAGGGAGGCCCCCTCTCTCCGTCCTACGTGCCACCAACAGGCAGGAGCCCTGGAAGCCGGGCAGCAGCGAAGAGGACATGGTTGGGTACCTGGCCCTCGAGGGGATCCAGTGGGAGCCTGAGGAAGGTGACAGCTCGCCACGTCCGGTCACCTACTGGTTCCCGTCTGTGACTGAAGGAGTTTTGGAAGACCCGCTGACCCTCCCTCTCACTGCCCATCTTTTCAGTTCCCCGTCTTCCACCAGATAAAGCCGCCGTCAGGATGAAACCCTTCACGGACATCAAGTTCCTGCACAGAGGACGCAGCTGAAGAAGCACCTCAAATCTGACGGGTTCATGACGGACGGAGACGCTATCCAAAAGGACGGTTTACGGGGGACCGGGGGAGGCTACTGCCAGGCGAGCAACATCTGTCCATCAGCTGGAGAGTGGACATCTGCGGTTGCAGGCAGCCTAGGAGCACCCACACACAATGGGCACCGTTTGTATACAGTTTGCCTAAAAGTCCAAGGAAGGAGTCAGGGACAGCCTGACTGGGCAGCCTGGCTGGCGCACATCCGTCATCCCAGCAGCTCGGGAGGCTGAGGCAGGAGGATCTCTGGTTCAAAGCCAGCCTCAGGAACTTAGCGAGAGCCTGCTTCTAAACACAATATTTTTTAAAAAGCTGGGGATGTGGCTCCATGGTTCAGCACTCCTGGGTTCCACCCCCAGGACAAAAGAAAAAAGAAAAGAAAGAACCACGGATAGCTCCTCCTTTCACGGACACTTTTCTCCGGGCGCCGCTCTGGATCACAGAAGGATCTTCAGCCAACCTCACACCAGGGATACAGTGATGGGCCAGGACTTTTTTTTTTTGGTACCAGGGATTGAACCCAGGGGCGCTTAACCCCTGAGCCACATCCCCAGTCTTTTTATATTTTATTTAGAGACAGGGTCTCGCTGAGTGGCTGAGGCTGGCTTTGAACTCCTGATCCTCCTGCCTCAGCCTCC